GTTTCTCATGAGAAGCACCACTGTTTTTTATTTATATGAGTGACAACACATGTGGTTATTCACAACTGAATCTTCAGATTACTTTTATTTTTATTTTATAATGGGGCGTCCCTGTGTGGCCCAGGCTAATGATAATCTCCTGGCTTGAAGCAATCTTCAGCCTGGGGGCGGCTTCAGCTGTAAGCACACACCACAGCACTGTGGTGTAAAAAAAAAAAAAAAAAAGCATCAGAGAGACTGGCACAGAGACAGAGTGGGGAGAACTTGGCCTTTCTGAGGGGATAAGCCTAGTTCCCATGGCAGATCAGTCACTAATAGTAAAAATATGAAAATTCATTGTACCATACATATTTCACCTACTAAACAAAAAGACCATGATAATTTTTTGAAAGTAACAGGTATTAACCTTTTAATTTTGACTTTTTACAAAGTATATTGAACAGCTTCCTGCAGGGCATTCCTTTTCCATAAAAACTAAGCTACTTTGAAGATTAAACAGTATTCCTCTAACTGACACGAACGTTTCTTTCTGATGGTGTGGTGAGGAGTGGGCTGAGAGCTCTTTCATCAATGGGATGGTGAAATGCCCTGGTCCCTTCTAATCACATAAGAAGATGAACTCAATCACATGACTCAAAAGGTCACATGATTCGATGTCTGTGGTGGCCAGGGATTCTGGCTCCACTTCTCCTCCCTCTCCATGCATTCTCCTGGGCCTGAATGCAGCCCTTGTAGCACACAGCACCTGGGGTGGACTATCATGAACTGAGGTTATTGGTCCTTTTACAAATATTATAATAAGTCAACTTGCTTTTAAAACATTTCAGTACTTTTTTTTTCTTGAGATAGGGTCTTATATGGGACAGGCTTGCCTCAGGCTCTCTGGATGGCAAAGATAAAAGGCCTGAGTCCCTGCTCCTCTTGCCTCCGTCTCACAAGGCCTGGGGTTACAGGCATGTGCCTCCACTCCCACCTCAACTTCACTTTCTCAAATGGTATTTGAAAAAAATATTGCAATTGCCAGACATGTTGACACAAATTACAACCCCAGAACTTGGGAGTCGGAGAAAGGAGAATCGTGAGTTTGATGCCAGTCTGAGATACATAGCAAGTCCATGTTTCAAAACTTACAATTATACTAAAATCAAAAAGAAAATATTCAGATATTTTGCCAATATTTCATAAAAGAAGTGATCAAGCCAGTGTTCAAAACTGAAGTCTAAGAAACTAAGGATAAATGAAACAACAAGAAATTTAGAGACTGAGTTCTGAAGCCAGCCCTGTGCTCATGCTGACAGACAGTACATCAGTTACTGCACGTAACGTGTGGTAGACTTCTGCAAGGCCTATGAGCTACATATTATTGTCTGCATTTTACATTCATCTAAGAGGTCAGTGCTTCATTTCAGGATTGGAGTCAGGCAGCCTGCATGTGCAAGCCTGCCTCTATCTGGCACTTCTTGTGTGAGCAAGCCTCACTCCTTCAAGCTGTGGGGCCAGCCCCTGGACTGTCTCCTCTTCTTATGTGGGTCATGTTCCCTTTGCACAATCTGAAGACCACTGTCCACTGCAATAACAAAACCTTGAATCTTGGACACAAACCTTTTTTTCTCTTGTGGCACTGGGATGTGGGCAACCTAGTTATCTGGTCCTCTCGTTCTTTTAGCAGAGGGTGGCTTTGAACTCCTAATTCTCCAGTTTCCACCCTCCTCGAGCAGGGATTACAAGTGTGAGCACTGCATCCAGCAAGCATTTTCATTCGGTACATATTCTGCAGTATGTGAAACTGCTTACAACGCTTTAAACATTCTTACTTTCTATCATTTATGCGCCATTTCCACCCCTGTATAGAGTAACTTATTTATTAGTTAAGGGAAATCCAGGAAGTGCTGCTTGACAAGACATTATCTTAGTATTTGGTGAGGTGACTGGAGAGATGGCTCAGACATTAAGAGCACTAATTACTCTTCCAGAGGTCCTGAGTTCAGTTCCCAGCAACCACATGGTGGCTCACAGCCATCCATAATGAGATCTGGTGCCTTCTTCTGGCATGAAGGCAGACATGCAGGCAGAATACTATATACACAATAAATAAATAAAAATAAATAAACAAATGTAAATTTTAAAGTATACAGAGGTGGAAGATAAAATTTAAAGTGGCAGATGTGCAATTATAAAAAAAAAAATTCATGGGCTGGAGAGATGACTCAGCAGTTAAGAGCACTGCCTGCTCTTCTAAAGGTCCTGAGTTCAATTCCCTGCGACCACATGATGGCTCACAACCATCTGTAATGAGGTCTGGTGCCCTCTTCTGGCCTGCAGGCACACACACTGACAGAATATTGTATACATAATAAATAAATAAATACTTAAAAAAATTCATGGTGACCTAGAGTTTGAATCCCTGGTACACACACCAAGGTGAAGAAGTATGGTCACACATAACTTTAACCCTAGCCATGCAAAAGCAGAGACAGGCAGGTCCTAGAGGATCACTTGCCAGCTAGTATAGCCAATCTATGAGCTCAGTTCAATGATTCTGTCTCAAGCAAGGTACAGAGTGAGAGGGAAGACAGGCTAGGTCAACCTGTGGTCCATATATGTGCCCACACTTACACTATATACACATGCAACAAATCAAACCAAAAAAATTGTTTTAAAATGAAAGCGAAATAAATTGGGGGTGGGGGTTGATACAGGGTTTCTCTGTATAAAAGCCTTGGAAGTCTTGGAACTCACTCTGTATACCTGGCTGGCCTCAAAGTCACAGAGACCCACCTATAAGTTCGTGTGATTCAAACTTATCACTGTGACCAGCTCTTCCTTGCCTGAAAAATTCTGGGTGATCCTATACTGAACAAGAGAAAGATCAGAACTCAAGGGACTACTCCAACAATGTGCCTCTTTGTCTCTAATTTTATTCTGCTCTTTTAAAAAATTGAAATTTTTAATCATAAAATATTTGTTCACTTACTTGGGGAACCACTTGGCATGCTCCTTCCAAGGATCATCTCCTTCTTCCCAGTTTCCCAAGCATCCAGCACAGGAGAAACACTGCACGGTGTCCCTTTTACCTACAATGCAGTGACGTGTTCTGACTGGCCAGCAATGGCACCAGAGGTGTCTTAGAGATGATCATATTGTACCGAAACAAGATGGACTCCTCATGACCTCTCAGGCTGAGTCTACATCCAGAATCCTACTGCCGTAAATGACCCCCTCTGAACATCGGACCTCCACCCTCTAGCCATGGTCTTCTGACATAGGTGTACCCCAGGGCCCTGCACCTGCTGTACAGAGCTACACCCTCAAGCCAGCAATATTTTCTAATGTCCACATTTAAAGAAAAGTAACCTTTTATTTTATACACATATGGTGTAGGAGGTCCTTCTGTTTGTATGTTGCTTTCACTAGTTAATTAATAAAGAAACTGCTTGGCCTGATAGGGCAGAATTTAGGTAGGTAGAGAAGACAGAACTGAATGCTGGGAGGAAGAAAGCAGAGAGGGAGAGAGCCACCATGGAGACGCCAGGTCAGACATGCTGAATCTTTCCCGGTAAGCCACGACCTCGTGGTGAACACAGATTAATAGATATGGGTTAAATCAAGATGTGAGAGTTAGCCAATAAGAGACTAGAGATAGTGAACCAAGCAGTAATTTAATTAATACATTTCTGTGTGATTATTTCAGGGGATAAGCTAGCCGGTTGGCGGGAAGAACAAGCAACCCGCTTCTCCTTCAACACATATAGAGCAAGTTAGTGATTCTATACTAGTTGTTGAATTTTAATAAAATAGGTTTATACCTGATACAACAGTTAACAATTGACAAATATTGCAAATAAAAACATGAAACTGAACTTTATATTTATATAAACACATCACACAATGGGATCCAGTTACCTGTAAAGACGAAGCCAGCTGCTGAGAGTACACGTGGCGATGTCCCATGGGCATAGAACGGCCAGTTCTCAAAGGACTCCAGTCTGGCCTCCTCTTCTTGGTACCTTGCTTTGCCGCCCCTCAGCTCCTCTGGCCTCTTCACCCTTATGTCATACTTGCCAATATTCCCAACATCTTTGCCCAAGAGGAACGCACATTCCGGACGCCATCTCTTGTGGTTTTCTATGGGAGTTTTCCTTAGGCTGGTACCAAAGAGGATTAAACTACAGCAGAAGCACTGAACCCCATGATTCACCCCGGTATGGTAAAACCCAGCGGCTGCCATCTCCTGTGGCGTCCATGAACTGTATGTGTCATAAGTCACGAAAGTCTTTAATCGTTTGGCTTCACTGCGCATCTGTGGGTTAAAACCTTTCTTCATTTTCATTCGTAACTTATGTTCTTCTTCTTCTTGACTCCTTACAAGCTGACCCATGTCCATACCAAGAAGAGCAGAGAGCTCACGGAGAAAATTGTAATCAAACTCAGAAACTCGCTCCTCAGAGGCCTCCAGGGGAGCGGCCATTTTCTAAAAGGAAAGGGAAAGCAGATGGTGATGACAAGGACAGTTTTTAGTATAAGAAGCTTGAATTCAGGGTCCATGAGGTGGCTCAGTGGGTAAAAACACGTGTAGTCAATCCCTGGACCCACATGGTAGAAGGAGAACTGACTCCCACAGGTTGTCCTCTGACCTCCATCCACATGGACACAGCGATACACATACTCATGCCCCTGCCCCACACAACCAAATAAAAGAAATAAAAAATTTAAATACAGATCATGTTCTCAGCTTTTAAAGAAGGCAGAATATATTGAAGAAATACCTGGATTGTCAAGACGAAAGGAAAGTTGTTTGGGAAATTATAAAACATCAGTATTCATCTGTTTACTCAAGAAATAATCGCTGTCTACTTGTGTGCCACGAGGACCAGCAATGACAGGCAAACAGACCTGGTTCCATTTATAGAGGCTGCTTCTTCTTCTCCTTCTTCTTCTTCTTCTTCTTCTTCTTCTTCTTCTTCTTCTTCTTCTTCTTCTTCTTCTTCTTCTTCTTCTTCTTCTTCTTCNAATCTCAAAAGGCAAGTTTCTGTTTACCAGAAAACACCACTACTTCCCTATCCACCTGCCCCCAACAGTCAGTCAGCTCTCTGAGACAAAAGCATCTAGTTCCTGATAACCCAAACAGCCTGCGCGAACTCCCAGGCTGCTCTGGCCCACACCTCTCCTCTCATTACAACCTGTCCCCTTAAAATTGACAAGGCTTTCCCATGATGCTATTCTCTGCCCTCCGAGGGAATACCTGGCAGTTTGCTTTCCCAAATCAACTTTTCTTTCTCCCACGAGTGGTCCATTTCGGTGGCTTGACTGCGCCCTGGCTTACAAACTCCAGATGCCCCACTGTTGCAGGCGAGGATCTGAGTCTGGTAGGCAGCCACTAGGATTCAGGGCTCTTATACCGCTTTACCATGGCTGTATAAAGCACATGGATAGTTACATGAAGGAGATGGTTTATTACAGGAGAGATTCTGACCAGCTAGGAATGACGACGTCAGGCCTGATCATGACCTGGATCCAAGAGAGGAAAGGGATAGATCTGCATGACATTTCACAAAATATTTGTACAGTATCTGCAAATCCCAGTGTTCTTACAAAGCTAGCTCTTCTTGAACATGCTCCCTTGGTGGAATGAAGCCCAGGTGGGTAAGGGCTTCCAGTCCTTCACTGCTGCTACCTTTCACGTTAATCTTTAGTGTTACAAGGAGGCTGCTAGTTCATTTCCTGACCGCCCAGACTTCTGAAATAATCACACAGAAACTGTATTATTTAAATCACTGCTTGGCCCATTAGCTCTAGCTTCTTATTGGCTAACTCTTACATATTAATTTAACCCATTTCTAGGAATCTGTGTATTGCCACGAGGCCATGGCTTACCAGGTCACGTTCTGGTGTCCGTCTTTGACGGGGCTACATGGCTTCTCTCTGACTCAGCCCTTCTTTCTCCCAGCATTCACTTTAGTTTTCCCCACCTAGCTCTTTCCACCCTGCTCTGCTATGGGCTCAAAGCAGTCAGTATTTTATTAACCAATGGTATTCACAGCATACAGAGGGGAATCCCACATCACTTTGGAGCCTCTTCCTCCACCCTATTCCCTATTCTTCTGACTCGGGCACATAATTATTGTTATAAGTACTACAGAATTTATTTTATGAACTATTTTTCTCTTAGCTAAAAGTTACATTGTACCATAAGCAAATATAAATCTGCAATGTACTGGGGTGGTTTTTAGGGATTGAACTCAGGTTCTCTATTTTGGGTATCAGGCTTGGATTAACTAAGCCCTGAGCTCTTTCAGTGTCTAGGTTGGGTATTAGAGATTGAGCCCAAGGCCTTTTGCATACTAGGATAGAACACACACACACTCATGAGTTACCTCGGCCAGCACAGCCATGAATGTCACAGAGACTTAGAAAGTAGAAAGGTGAGCAATAGTAGATGGAGACACAAGACTCTGGGTTCCCTTCAAGAGTAAACTGTTTTTATTTCCCCACTACCTACTTATACACTGTCTAGCTAGTTGCTAGAGACAGCATTGTAACCAGGACTTATGTATTTTTTACTCCCTTATCTGAGTTCTTCCTTTTCTGTTTCCCTGCCCTTGTGACACTGTGATCTAATCCAAAGATTAGAATATTTTATATTACTGTCTCCTACTTTAAGAGCTAATCCAACAGGCTTGTCAGTTACCCAACCAAGAGACCACTCCACAGGAAATCTGATTCACCTGAAGATATGCTAAGAAAATGAAGGGACAATTATCTCCTCAAAGGATAATGTTATTTACGGATCTTCCATCATGTCTTTCTGCTAAGCCTCCCCAGTTTTCTCAGTTCTAATTCAAAAGCTCAATGGTTACAAGCACTGATGTTCTTCCAGAGGACCTGGGTTCCACTCCCGGAATCCACGTGACCACTCCCAATGGTCTAACTCCAGATTCAGGGGGATTTATCGCCCTCTTCTGGCCTCCTTGGGCACCAGGCTCACAACTGGTTGCATAGGCATGCAAATGTAAAAACAAATAATAAATAAAATTCTTTAAACCTGTAACTTGTCCTTTTTCTTCCTATTATTCTTTGGTTATTGAGCTAAGGACTAAGCAGGGGCTCCTGCTGCTTTAGAGTTTGCATTTGTGGAGGTCTCATCCCATGCAGCTGCTTACTGAACTCCAGTGCTGAATTTGTCTGAGCTCTAGGGTCCTAACTCAAAAGCATAACTTTCTCTCCTTCTGCCAGCTGCCATATTTATAGCTTGCTGCCCCATTGTTTTCCTCTGAAACTCTAACAAATGATCCCTGAGCTTCCTTCTGATTCTGTAAATGTTTTAATTCACAAGACTTAAGAACCCAAAAAGGGAAACCTTGATTTTTTCCCTTAACACTTTTTGCGTGAGCATAGTTGTGATTTCTGAATGTGGGCACACCTGCGCCACAGTGTTCCTGTGGAGGTCAGACAACAACTTTTGGAAGCTGTTTTCTCCAACCTCCCTCTGCAGTGGGATCCAGGAACTGAACTCGGGTTTGCAAGGCAATCTCTTTTCCGTGCAGTGCTTTTGGTTTTGTTTGTTTGTTTTGCTGGTGTTGTTTAATTCAGTTACACTTCTCAATGGCTAATTACAGCAGATCATTTAGGCCACTGCCATTTTTCTCTTCATAAACAAACACTCCAATATGCAAAACAAAACCTTTTCTCCAAGCTTTAACATTGCCTCAGAATAAAGTCCTGAAATCAGAATTGCTGAGTCAGCCGCATGCATAGTTTTAAGGATTCTGGTGGATGTCTGGCTAGTGGTCACCTGAGGTTCTTTACCTTCAGAAGAGTCAGGGTCCTGCTTCTTCCTCAGGTGGCTCCCTGCAATGGGACTTCACATAGCAGAATTTTGTGTCTCTCTGTAACAGGAAGAAAAGTCTGATTACAAACTGAGAACTGATTTCCCAAGGGAAAAGATCTGTCAGCAGTTTTGATGACTCTGAGTCCACTATCCTAGTGGCCATCCGGGGTGGCAGTCATGGTCTTTGACAAGAGGCTCTGGCATACCCACAAGTATGTGACTGATACTTCCTTGGAACTAAGGTTGTGTGGCTCCATCAGAACCCACCAGAGCCTGTTATCATTCAAACCACACATTAATTCACTCCTTTTCTCCAGACACCTGCCCATCCAACCCCAGTAACTTTGAGAACAGAAGCTTACCAAAAAATTCAAACATGACATGAAATTTCTCCAGGAATCAAAAAACCTAGCCAAGTTTTGTTCAACTTTATCTCGATCTGGTATCTAGTACATTGGTTTTGTAAATTGGGGTTATTAAGAATAATCCAAGTAAATCCTAAAATTTTATCATTTTAGGTCTTGTTTTTCTCCTTAACTAGCCCCTCCTAGTGGTTATTTTATTAACTGCAACTTTCAGTTCAATCTTAGATAATTTGGATTCATGTATACAATGAAGCAGTGCTTCCCCGTTGAATCAAATTGAAACTTTCCATCACTAGTTTGTAAGAGTAAGCAAGAGAATTTAAATATCTTCTGTGATAGCCAATTGTAGTGGAGCACACCTTTATTCCCAGCCCTTGGGAGCAGAAGTAGGCAGATCTCTGAGTTTGAGACCAGTCTGATCTACAGAGCAAGTTCCAGGACAGCCAGGGCTGCACAGAGAAAACCTGTCTCAAGCCGCCACTCTCCATTCCCCCCAAAAAAGAATACTAAATAAACAAATATACTCTGGGGGCATCTTAAATGTACATTGGCATCCTTCCCCCTTTCCGAGCTTAATTTTTAAATTCTTCTAAAATAGGAATAAAAAAGAAAGCACGGACCAGCTCCTTAACAGAGCACCAATATCCCTGAGCTTACTGTGTTCTTGCTGTATAGTCTTGGCTAGCCTTGAACATACGGTAATCTTCCTGCTTCAGTCTCTCAAATGCTAGATATCTTAATGCATTTTTATTACATTTTGAAAGTGTGTGTGTGTGTGAGAGAGAGAGAGAGAGAGAGAGAGAGAGAGAGAGAGAGAGAGAGAGAGAGAGAGAGAGAGACTCATGCATGGCAACTGTGTGGAAGTCAGAGGACAACTTGTTCTCTTTCTACCAAGTGTATCCCAGGGATCACAATCAGGTCGTCAGACAGGTGCCTTTACTTGCTGAGCCATGCCTCTTGAGTGCTGGGATTGAAGCCATGCCCACCACAAGGCAGAATACCCTAGGGAGGAACTGCTCTAATTACTTTTTTCTAATTCTTTTCTTTCATGATGTTGTAATGAATTCTATGACCAAGAGCCAAAAGCCACTTCAAGAAGGAAAGGTTTATTTTAGTATACAAGTGCAGGTTACAGTCCAATATTGAGGAAAGTCAAGTCAGGAACCTGAAGGCAGGTCTGTTTACTATTACACACAACATCACCTCCAAATAAGGAACTCACTTCACAGGCAAATAAGGACAGCATAGACTGACAGTATGCTGCCCTAATTGGACAAGCAGGACACAAAAGAGTGATTGCCTGGGGCTGGAGAGATGGCTCAGTGGTTAAGAGTACTGACTGCTCTTCCAGAGGACCCTGGTTCAATTCCCAGCACCCACATGGAAGCTCACAACTGTCTGAAGATCCAGTGCAGGGGATCTGACACCTTCACACCAATGCACATCTGAGGCAGATGGATTTCCGTGAGTTCAAGGCCACTCTGGGCTGCCCAAGATTGAATCTGTCTAGAAGAAAAACAAAGCTCACACAAAGGTGATCCCACCACTTGGGATCACAGACCTTTAATCCCAGCACTAGGGAGGTGGCCACAGGAGAGATATGGCTGGGCTGAGATAGGAATATAAAGGGGAAAAGACAGGAACTCGGTGGAGTGTGAAGTCTGAGGATTCCTGGAGACAGGATCTGGATCTTGTCCCTTAGGTCTGAAGATTTGGTAGGGCAAAAGGTCTCTCTAGTGGTTGGCTGCTTTGCTTTTCTGATCTTCAGGATGAACCCCAATATCTGTCTCTGCATTTTTATTATTTGTTACAATACACTGTGTAGAACGCTGCTTCCTAGCTGGCTCACAACCCACCTTATAATCAGCTAGCCTTAAATAAATCATGACCCACCTGCTTAGGGATGGAACTGCCCGCAGTGGGCCCTCCAATGTTAACAGTCAAGACAATATCCACAGACGTGGCTACAGGGCAATCTGATCCTTGAATTTCCTCAACTGAGATTCTCCTCTCAGATAATTCTAGGCTGTGTCAAGCTGACCTCCAAAGCCAACCAGGGCAGCAACATATTACTGATGCTTTGCTCTATGGTTGTGTTGACAAGCTGCTCTCTGAATATTAATGTTTATTCCCATAGATTAGTGCTGCTCTCCGTCTTAGTCAAAGATGTTCCGTCTGCAGAGAATAGAAGTCATGTAGACTCATCGGGTCAAAGTTCTCAGGATAAGTACCTGAGAATGATCAGCCCTCAATGAGACAGCTATATCAGCCTTACCTTAGGGAACATCATGGACGAGAGGACAGAAAGAAAATAAGAGCTAAAGAATGAGGAGGAAAGCTGTAAAATGTTTTCTGAATATGATATGGACGTTGAACCCATGAACAACCCATACCAACTGTGGTTAACTGCACAAGACCTCATAAGACTAAGTCAGTCAACATTCTTAGCACAGACAGGGAAGTGGCTCATAAGGTCACAACTGAACAGCTTATAGGCAGTTTATGACTGTCTTTTTTTCCAGAGGTGTGACCAGTTGTAGGTTTCCCATACTCATGCAGACAGCACCAGCTGAACTCAGTTGATTATGGGAAAAAAAGAAGGATACATGAAGATGGGAAAGGAAACTGTATAAGATCTGTGCATGGCTCTAAGGGGGTGTATGATCAAGATACATTATATGCATGTATACAAACTCAAAAAATAAATTAAAAAATTTTAAAAGCTTTAAAGAAAATAGCCAAATTTTAAGATTTTAACACACAAAGTCACAGAATATATACAGCCAATAAATTTTTGGAAAGATTTAAAAAGATATAATATATATTTGAGACTCTCAAATAATAAATAAAAAAATTTAAAAAGAATCATCTAGAGAAAAAGATTCCTTCCGGGTTACATCTCAGAGAAGCCTGAACTGGACAACTTTTAAAGTCTTCTCTGTAAGCTCTTCAGAAAGGGACTGAGTCTCTCCTAGCTATCATACCTCTGAAGGCTAGAGTCACAGTAAGAATTTGTGGGATGGAGGATGCAAGGTCTCCAGCAGGAAGCACAGCGGAAATTCAGGGAAGAAAAGAGGGAAGTCCCTCCCCCTGAGAGGCTCCCTGATCTTTCCCTGGAGAGCCTCATGTGGAGGGAGGGGCACACGCTAAAATCTCTACAATTCCAGGGTACAGTCGTTAATGGCATGGAAACCGTGGTCCCAGAAGCTTGAGGTAGCTGGTCAAATTGTGCCTTCAGTCAGGAAGCAGAGAGTGATGAGTCCCTAATTTACTGTGTCTCTTTAAATTTACATATCCCGGATATGTCAGAAGACTAAATTATAATATGTAGTCCTTCTATTTGGTTACATTCACTTAGCGTAATGTTTCCAAGGTTCATCCACGCAATATAACATGCATCCGTACTCCACACTCCCTTGCCAAATACTATATTTCTGCATGTCGTATCTTTTTTATCCACTCATACTTATCCATGCATTTGATTTGATTATACTGCTTTAGATTTTACGAATAATGCTAGTGTACACATTACTGCTCAAGTGTGGGCATTTTTCACTCTAAAATCTGTAAGTGCCTTTTTCATACAGACAATTTAATTGTCCTTTGCTTTTAATTATCAGGTTTAGATATGGCACTATGTTATGCGCCATGGTCTCATCACACCATTAAAGTTTTCTCACTACCTTCTGACTATTTTACCCAGATCACTACAAATGCCCTCAGGTCCTCATTTCAAGCCCAAGACCTTCATCACATCACATTCTTTATTGTTTTAGTTCATTCAGAAAGAAATGTACACTGTACATTAGTACACTGTAGAGACAGCGGCAGGCATGGCACTCTCAGAACAACTGCCTACTTGGGTATTTTGTTTCTTTGATATGTGCATTTGAGACAGGGACCCCAGGGAGTCCACAACAGTCCTCACCCTCCACATCCTAAATGCTGGGATAATGGGCGTTTCCCACCATGCACCCCATCATGACTGTTGTAAAGAGACTGCGGATTCTGCTTTGGTGTCATCAGAAGGTTTCTGCCTGCATGAGGGTACTGGGTATCCTGGAACAGGAGTGGCAGACAGTTATGAGCTGCCATGTGGGTGCTGGGAATTGAACCCTGGTCCTCTGGAAGTTAAGCCAGTGCTCTTAACCACTGAGCCATCTTTCCAGCCCCCCAGAATGTTTCCTTTAATTCAACAAGGCTGTAACAAATGAGAGACTTACTATGGTGCTTTGACAATCTGAGGAGTTGGTGCAACAGACTATAAATTGGTGGAACATTGGCATAAATTATCATATTCTGAAATTTCAGAAGTAACTCCGTCTCTTTCCTCCTTTTCGGATGTCCAGTCTAATGATTCGCCTGAACAACACCGTCCGGTTTACTAGACTTGAGACCTTTCTGTTCTAGTTGTTTCCTTCCTTATGGATGGCATTGATCTTCAGGTCATCATTCCACACAATTCAGAGCAAATGACCAAGTTAGTCTACAGCAGCCTCTCTCATTTACTTCCTCAACAACTGAGTCACATATAAAGTTCATTCTAGAAATGAATCATTACTTAAACCAAAGGCATAAACTTCCAAACACCTCACTAACCATAGACCCTTGCCTGCATTCCCAGCATTTCAATTATCCTAGTTCAATACCTTTGGGTAGATTGAACAGACTCTCTTTATGACACTTCACATACTCTGCCTTGATCTGTCTCATCTAGTTTGGAATTTGTCTACTACCCACATTTCTGCAAAAACTTCAGCAACCTAAAGTTTTTAATTTGTTCCATTTGTTTCTGTTTTGTTTTGGGGACAGAGTCCTGTTATAAGCCCAACTCAGCCTCCAAGTTGATATCATCCTGCCTCAGTCTCCTGAGTGTTGGGCTTATGTGTATGTGCCAAATGATAGATAGACCTTTAAGGTAAAGTTCACCTTTTCATTTAAAGGTACAACTGGCCATCATGTGGAAATGATCACATTTAACAATACTTCATAAGACTTAAAAAACAAACCACTTATCACTAGTATATAAAATCCCCCAGGAATTATTCTTCTGAAACCCTACCAGGACTAGCTTCCTGTTCCTCCTCTTTACAGAAGGAACTGGCCATGATTTGGCAGCTTTGCTTAGTTACTTCATGTTTGCCAGCACAAGCTGCATTATTCCTTTTGCTGGGATAAGATGCCCTGACAGAAGCAACTTAAAAGAGACAAAGTCCATTCCAGCTTACAGTTTGAAGGCATAAATTCCAACGAGGCAAGGAAGGTGTGGTAGAAGGAGCAGAGGCTTCTGGTCATATTGCATCCTCAGGAAAGAAGCAGAGAAAATAAGAAGCTGAGCCAGGCTCTAAACCCAGAAGTACTCACTTCCTGCAGTGAGGCTCCGCCTCCTAAAGGTTTCACAAACTACCCAAGCAGCACTGAGAAATGGACAATTGTTAAACACATGAGCAGCCTAAAAGGGCTATTTTACAATCATATCACAATAATCAAGAACCAGTAGTCTACACTAACTTCATACATATCTGAACAATTTCCTCTCCCACCTCATCCTTATGTTCCTCTTTCTTTTATTAAAAATGTTTTATTAGATATTCCTTATTTTGTGTGTGTTTGTAGTGAGGTGCACACATGCCATATAGCATAGGTCAGATCTCTCCTTCAGCTAGGTAAATCTTGGGGATGGTTATCTCCTGATCTGATTCTTTTGTTTTGGCCCAGAATCCCATAGAAGCCCTTTAATAAGAAACCAAGAAAGTATTTGAGGAACTAGAACTCAAATTGCAAAGTTAGGGAAGCCACCAGTTAAGGCTCTGGATTGCATTAGGGTGCTAGTCAGGACCCCAGAGGAACAGTAAGTCCCATAAAGCAGTATTTCATTTTGAACAGTTTAAGAGTGTCATAGCTTTTTGTGACACTATTCTTTGGGAGACTTGAACAAACATTTACTCACCCCAAGTAAGGATCCTCAGACACAGACAAAAGTAAGAATACAAAGTCCTACCTGGGACCAAAGATGATGGTGCACACCTTTAGTCCCAGGACTTGGGAGGCAGAGGCAGGCAGCCTGATCTACAGAACACATTCCAGGCAAGCCAGAGATATATAGTGAATTCTGTCTTTAAAAAAAAAAAAGAAAGAAAGAAAGAAAGAAAGAAAGAAAGAAAGAAAGAAAGAAAGAAAGAAATGAAATGAAAGAAAAGTCCAAGTTGGTGAACCAGTAAGTTTTACTGGGGTTCTTACAGGAAGATGGGTGAGGAGTTACTTACAGGAACAGAAATGACTCAGAGTTGTATCAACAAAAGCCCATCCCAGCACGTAGACAAAACCAAAACAAGGCAAAGTCCACATAGTTCTGGGAAAGTCTCTAAATTTTTTAACTTTTGTTGTTCCACTTTCGGATGTTTTATTAACTGAAGTATGTCAACCCAGAACATGGATTTTACGCTTAAAAACTCATTCTAAAAAAGGCTCAGTGCTACACTGGATGCCTAACACCCAGTCTAGTTGCTGCCTAGCTAATAAAGACTTTCCACTGACTGAAACACATGTTCGAGTAGTCTTCTCTGGTGAAGGCCCCCACAACATTTCTGGAGGTTCCACTGAGACCCCAGAGACCAGACTTGGAGACACACACCCCCCCTCCGTGTCTCAGAATCCCTTGGTAAGAAGAGTACAACGGCCAGGAGGCTTCTAGGGGGTATGCAACCTGAAATGTTCCAGATCCCCAGGGTTCTCTTAGATCAGCTGCTGCCTAACTCTTAAGAGGGATCTGACACCTCCAGGCCCCCCACCCCCCAAAAAAGCAAATTAGAAAGTAGCCTGGTCTGTCACCTCCCAGGGGTTAGTCTGGTTAAGGAGCCTTCCATTCGGACACACAGGAGAACTCAACACACTGCTGATGCAGTATGCAGGATCTAAGTGAGACGTCCCTGGATGCTGTCTGTTTAGGTGTATAGGTGTGTGGTGGCCACCCGTGGTTGTCTTTACTGTGTCTCTATGTTTCTTTCTGTGTATTTCTGTCAGTTTTGTATTCCTGTATTGACCACTGGCTTTATCTGGTGTGAGAACCCCTGGCTTAACATCTGTGCTACTGGGGACCCAAATCCTTTTGGCTCTGCCAGGTTACCCAGAGAAACCCCCAGAACCCCCTCCTGTCCCACTCTGGGAGCAGGAACACTTGCTTGTTTTGTTGCTTGACTCCTGCTCATGGTCAGGGTTGGTTCATGGTCAGGGTTGGTCCCAGTGTGGAGGTCAAGAGAGGCCAGTCCTTTCATCCAGGGTCCCATGACAGCTAAGCAGAATGCACACAGGAAGGGGGAAATAGTTCCGCCCGGATGAGCATTTCTTCTGCTCTGCTCTGTGCCTGCTCTAAGCAGCCACAGAGAAGGGAAAATTTCCCTGGGCTGAGTCTGAAGGAAAAGAGAAGTTCCACTCCTTTCTCTTTTATAAATTTGTCTCCTTTTAAACCAATGATCTATAAAACCACCATTCTCGTTAAAAAACAAACAAACCAGAAAATGACTCTAGGTTGGGAGGGAAATTGCTGCAGGCAACATGGCCTGAACAAAACAGATTTTTCCTTCTGTCCAACAATGACCAAGGACATTTTCGCTAGGACCCTTTTGAAGGATTAAGGAAAGCTACTAAAAACATGTGCCACTGCACTGTTTTAGGAAATGAGTATTTCTTTGGAGGGTAAATATGTGAATTCTAAAGTTTTAGACTAGCTCACATTTCCTGTTTTGTTTGGTTTCTGAGACAAGGTTTTGCTTTGTAGCCCAAGCTGGCATTGAACTTGAGGCAACCCTTGTCTCAGCTTCCCAAGCCCTAGAATTACAGAAGTGTACCATCTCACCTGGATCATCTTTTACTTCTGTTTACTCTTCCCTACATTTTCAGTGTGTTTGTGTGTATGCACATGTCACATGTGCGGCCAGACGACAATTTGTAGCAATCACTTCCCTAGTCCCACCTCGTGGGCCCCAGAGGTTGCACTCAGGTCAGTGGCTCAGTGGCCCTTGCCTTAAGCTCTGAACTTTTTCTTTTTTTTTTTTTT